TTGTATAAAATTTGTAAACAAACATACCGGAAGAGTAAAAAATAAATAAATAAAAAAAAATTTGGCAGAGCAAATCATTTGGATACTTTCATCAGTTTACATCCCGAATATAAATAGTATATGAATATAAAATAAAGTATTGCGACTCTTTAGACTCTGTAAATGTGAACATTGATCAGCTATTTGCGTCTACAGTACATAAATACGACTTTTCTAATATTAAATCATAGTTATGTAATGTAATATATGAGTGTACTGCAACCCTCCTGGCCGATAATAATCGGCCTCATGGTTAACGCAGCACACCCAACACAGGCAAACAAAAATACAGTTAAAGGATTCAAACGAAAGATTAACGCATAGATTAAAACAGAAATACCGTTAAAAACATTAAACCAAAATTCCCAGTATTGTTTTATTGCCAATTGTAAAGTTTATCAAATCTTTTGCAAATCTAAACTCTTGATTGGGGCAGTAGAATTCCTTTATGTTACCATGTTTTTCCCTAACATGTCGGAATAATACGCAGTCTTCGACGAAATGTCTTACATTGCCTTCAGCACTACAAACACTACAAAGAATATTATTTTGCAAATTAAATTTTCCAGCTATGCCGGGAAGCGCCCGTGTCCAGTAATTATTTGATTGTAATCAAAATCACATATCATTCTCATATTTTTAGAAACTTCAAAGTTAAACAAATTATTCTTTCCATTTTCCGAAATCTTTCATTTATCTTTCCAGCAATCATAATAGAAATCCTTTATTTTACGAAATAAACAATTCTTTTTGATGTCTGAATATCGAACGTATCCCCGGCATTATCCGTAGCAGTCTCTTTGGCCAGCATTGTGGTCCCTTTCATTGCCGTATATGCCTCTCACTGCCAATATGGGCTTTCACCCAGTTCATTTTCAAGGACATCACAGTAACATAATTTTCCCTTTTTTTAACTTTTGCATTTGCCTAGTTAGCATGTAGTTTGCAATCTATTGTATTTTTATCGTCAGCTAGGACGATATATACAGGGTGTATCAGTACATGCGGCGGAGGACGCGGGCACCACCCCTTTACCATATGGTTAATTGGTGTAGCGCCACGTCCACCAGTGTCAATATAAATATCAAGGACTCGGACGCTAGGTGCATTAGATTTCACTTATTGCGCCTGACTGGCGTAAGATAAAATGTTCTACTGTATGTAATGGTTATATGCATGCACGGGTAGGATATGGAAACAGTAAGATGATAATGCATAAAACAATTATATGTGGAGATATGCTGAAATATAACATACCAACACAGATATCATAGATACATTAAACATATGTTACATAAAAAATAATAACTAACATACTATTATACCTACATTAATCAAACATTACCTAAATATCAAGGACTGAGGCAGTAGTTGCATTAAAATTTCACTTACTACTCCACACAGGGGCGCGTTAAAATATTCTATGGTACATTGTTATTTACATGCAGGGGTAAAACATGGAAAAAGTTACTTAACAATTACTAACACCCAATATCCTAAATACATTAAACTTTTGTTACGTAAACATTAATGACTTGGATACTATGTTTACATTGGACAGACATTGCATGGATATCACAGACACAGACGTTGTGCTTTAAGCTTCACTTATTGCGCTACACAGCCACATATTAAAGTATTCTATGGTACAAGGTTATATATGTGCAGGGGTAAGTAAGGCATAGAAAACAGTTAGATAATAATGCATAAGACAATCATATGTGGAGACATGCTGAATTATAAGATACAAACACAGATATCATAGATACATTACAAATACATTACATGAAAACATCTTAGATACATTACACATACATTACACACACGTTACATGAAAATTAATGTCTAAAATACTATATCTACATTAAAAAGGCGTAGCCTAAATATCAAAAAATGAAGGCACTGGTTGTATTAAATCTTCACTTAACTGCACCACACAGGGGCACGTTAAAATAATCTATGTACATAGTTATTTACATGCAGGGATGAAACTTGTGGAGAGTTACATAACGATTATGGAAACAATATTATATAAACACTAAACATATGTTACATAAAAATTAGTGACTGAGATACTATGTTTACATTAACCTGACATATATCAAAGACTCAGATGCTATTGCGCTACTCTGGAGCATGTTAAAATATTCCATGGTACATAGCCATGTACATGCAGGGGTAAAACATGAAAAACAATTACATATTAATGTCATAAAATGTAGAGACTTTTTCAGTAATCATATGTAGAGACATGCTTAAATATTAAAATACAAACACAGATATCATATATACATTACACATACATTACATGAAAATCAATGACTGAGTTACTTTGTCTACATTAAACAAACATTATAGATATATATAAGACTGAAACTCTGGTTGCATTAAAACTTCACTTACTGCGCCTCACAGGTACGTGTTAGAATATGCTCTATGGAACATAGTTATATACATACAGGGGTAAAGCATGGAAGACAGTTACACAAAATTGCATAGGATAATCTATATGTGGGAGCATGCTACAATACAGAATACAGTCCCTGATATCATGGGTACAGTAAGCATATGTTACATAAAATCGGTACAATAAACCATTGGGCCAGTTATATGAAGAAACCATGCTAAAATATAAAAAACATACACAAATATCATAAATATAAATAAACATATACTGAGTACAATCAATAGTTTAGACACTATATTTACATTAAGCACACGTTACATATAAATCAATGACTTGAACACTGGTTGCATTATAGCTTCGCTTACTATGTTGGAGTTACATCAATACATTTGAACTGTAGTATAGCACATTTTGTCTTAGACACACACATACGCACAGTTTGCAATTTGCAAGATTACATTTGGAACAAACTTACAGATACTATTGCGTTTTAATATTACATGTGCCTATGTGATTTGCATATTGGGTGTAAAATCAGACGCAGAGTTTAGGCGTCCATTCATTACAAATTTCACAGTACTTGTAACGTTATGCAGTTCATATTGCATTGAGTATATGCAAGTGTGCTCAATGTCCACACGTACATTGATCTGAGGAACAGATGCCAAATCGGTAGAAGTATACAGGAAAAGGTCCATGTCCCGAAATGTACCTAACCAGCTGTGAATTGGCAATGTTCCGTTCTGTGTCCACATAGCTGATGTGGTAGTGGACACGTCTTCCAGTGGTACTGTCATCCCATTCTTGTTGCCACTTGCCAATGGCTTTAAGTCGTAGTGACTTCTTTAGAAATGTGACCGGCCATGGGATATTGAACTGCAAATCTGTCGGGCCTAACGCCGCTTCTTTGGCAAGTTGGTCCGCCATCTCGTTTCCGAGATGACCCGCATGTGCTTTGATCCATTCAAGCTTGATGTGCAGGTTGCATTGGCGCAGATTTGCTTGAATGCCCTGTATTATTTTACTGACATGGTTGGGGTTCATGATGGCATGCAACGACGACAAACTGTCGGTTTTGATGGTGGCATTATGGATGTTAGAGGAGAGCAAATAGTTAACTGCTCGGGCAATTGCTATCGCTTCTCCTTGAAAAAAACTGTTATGCTGCCGCAGTTGTGCCTTCCATCTTGCTTGAATTGTATCATGTCGCATGACTATGTATGAGCATCCCGCTTTTTCATCAATTTTGGAGCCGTCGGTGAAGATGTTAAATAGTGTGGGGGAATTAGTCGTAGACGGGTTGATGGTGACTTTGACACCAGTGCCTTTGCTCGCTGGGTGGACATGCAGTGGTCGATCAATGACTTCATATTCTTCCGGATGGAAGTATTCCTCGTCAAACACAGTTGGCTTTTTGAGTTACAGTAAGCGGTGACAGACTTTCAGAAGAGATAGAGTACACCTAAGACGATGGGAAATCACATACCAGTGCATGGTCGGAAAAGCTTTGCTGGCGCGGTAGTGACGACACAAAAATCAAGAAAGAACACGAACGCGGTGAGAAAATATGTTTATTATTCAGAGTAAAAGGCAAAAACAAAGAAAAAAACATAACGAGACAACGATCGTCAGCAAAGAAGGTATTCGAAATTACGACATGGACGATGATGCAGGAACAGTGTGTCATGCATCTTCCATTCGTAATGCAGATCTTCCATGCGCCGGACAAGTGAGGCCTGCATCACGGTCCGGGTTGTAACTTCGAACACCTTCTTTAATGACGGTCGTTGTCTCGTTATGTTGTTTTTTCTTTGCTTTTGCTGTACTCTGAATAATAAACATGTTTTCTCACCACGTTCGTGTCCTTTCTTGATTTTTGTGTCGTCACTACCGCCCCAGGAAAGCGTTTCCGACCATGAATTGCTGTGTTCTTTCCCATAGTCTAGGTGTAGTCTATGTGTCCTGAAAGTTTATCACCGCTATACTGAGACACCCTGTATATAAACAAATAACTTGTAAACTAGTACCCACAACAATATATATATTATTGGTGCACGCGTCTCGGCCTTTTATTTTGTTATGGGTATTGTTTTTACCTACTGACTACCGCACCGATTAGTCTGGGTTCAAATCATGGAAATGGCATGGTGTTTGTGCCTAGTGTCTATGCGGTATGGGAACGTTCAAAATACTCGCGAGCCGAATGTCCTCTCGAGTGGTTTAATTTTAGAAGAAGTGGAGTGTTAGAACCTCGGACCTTCCAATCATAAAATGATTATCCTTATTTATGTATTCGTCTGCATGAAATTACTTAAGATGATAATTCTGCGTTTTAAAAAGTCATAATTTCTTACTTACTAAAAATTTGTTCTCGGTGATGTAATATTGCTATAAATATCATCTGACTAAAAAAATGAAGTATTGAATCATCGCTTTGAAATAAAGGGATTTTTTTGTGCACTATATTGAAACGAATTCGTCATTTGGGCACATTCATTGCATACGTATTAGAAATGAGAATAAATAGTAATTTATTTTTCCATTTGTTTTTTAGTTGAAGAAGCGAAAAGCCAGAAATGATTTATCTAGACTGTGTAACTGATGATACATCATTTTTGAATAATTGTGAGCCAGTGCTGCATAGTTGATGATACGTACTTCTAAAGGTAAGTTTGCTTTTCATTTTACAAAATTCATTTCCATGATTGAATGTATTTTTGTTTGTAAATAGACTCTGTTGGGGTTAAATACTCTTTGTGTAGTATGTTAAATAAGTAATTTGTTGCATAATATCGCAGGCGTATTGTTTAATGAAGATGACTTGTGTGCTTGATTTCAATTTAGATTCTGTGTAACATATAGCAGTGTTATATCATTCTACTGTAAGAGCTGCCTGGGAGTGAATAACGGTTGCAGCTTCGAAAGTTGCGTTACAGGATGCAAAAGTTCAGGGATGTTACAACTGCAGAAGTTCTGAGAAATAAAAATACAGTCTGTCCGACTTATATGGAAATTAGAGTCTAAAATTAATAAATGTTCATGATATGTTACAGCTATCTCAAACTTGTCCAAAATACATAATTAAAAACTTTTTGAGATAGTTTTTATTAAAAATACGTAATTGAGGGAGAAGATAAAGATGAAAAATACCTGATTAAAAACTTTTCGATATTTGCGCGATTTCGATATTCGATTTCGAAATTATTATGAATAAAATAAAACAAATTTGAATGTTAATCATTTCATTGATGTTTGCAATCTATAATAAATAAAGCAAAGGTTTGGGAATGAATCCTGACATCAGATATAAATTGAAACATAAGCAAAACAATTTTAATTAAGATGATAATACTTTTGGTCGTTTTGAGGAGCGTGCAAGCGTCGATAATTCGAACTTCTAACGACTCCGTTGGTAATTCTGCGCCAAATCTTGAAATTTTATTTTTGATAATAAACATGTAATTTTCAAAGAATGTATAATAGTGATTTCAGAGTGTAGACGAATTTTTGAAGGAATACGATAGCTTATTCTGGAAAAAAGAACTTAATTTCAAAGAAAGTGCAAAGAATGCATGGATATTTTTATTTACATAAAGTAAATGCGTATTTTCTTTCATTTTTAATTTAATATGAATGAGAGTCTGTATTTTTAGTGAGTTCGATTCATAGCTATCGTTCGAAATATATAAGTAGTTAATAATTTTGATGTTTCCATTGATAGGTTAAGTCGTCATATGTTCTGTCACAAAAAGATGCCGGCAATCTGATTTTTAATTAGAATATACAATGCTATTCATATCCCAAACATATTAAAACATTTTGCCATCCATCGAATGAGTTATCTGGAACAAGTGTTTCGCAGATAGGCAGGCAGACGAACGGATGCACCAGAAACATAATAGCATTTTATGTGAACTACTACACAAATGCGTAGAAATGATCTCAACAAGTGGCAAACCATTTCCTAAATTCCCAATGAATAATTGATCTATAGTGCCGCAGAGAAGAGGAAGTGTCTCCGATCGGGAGCAGAAGTGACACGACATTGACATTTCCGAGCTTTTTTTCTTTTTTCTTTTTTTTTTTTTTTTCTTTTCTTTTTTTTTTTTTTTTTTTTTACTTCTTTTAATATGAAGCCTGACATCATCGGGTGCTTGAACCTTTCTCCATCTTCTTGTGAGAGAGATACTTATTTCCATTGCGACAATATCGTCATTGATGTTGATCAGGTGCGTTGAACTTAAATGGCGATCAGATGATTTGTTGTCATTTCCATATCTTGGGATTCCCTGTTTTATAGGAAACCCGCCTTTATACTATATTGTAAAATACACACATTTGATTTAAAGATGTTACCAGATGTTATTGCTATTTCTAAAATATATTTAGCTCTGTATTATGTAAAAGTATTTCGGTGCCCTTAATTCAATTACTGCTGTTTTCAGCCTGGAGAAGAATATTTGAGTTTGTCCTCAAAATACAGCATTCATATTTCCATAATAATAGGAAGCATCACCCGTTTTTATTACTGTGAGAATTTACTATTTGTATACGCAGCACATCTTCCTTTTGCAAAGAAAATATCTGAAAGATTCTGTTGATAAAAAAATAAAATATTAGTTTTCAATGTAGAAATGAATCGCGGTGAATTTTTAATAATACAGTGAATGAATATTAGGGAAGTATAGTGAAACTTTCATAAGATGAACACACACTATTCCATATGAATTCTCTGCTTTATAGAGGTTACATTATTAGATATTGCTTTCCGTTTTTTCTAATTGTTAGACACTCTTCGGGCTGGTCATTTGCGGGAAGAGGTCCCAGCGAGAGGTTTTACTGTGTATGACCTGTTTGGGGCTCTAATACGTCCCAGTAACATGAAAATCGGAATAAGTGAATTATTTTTCCTACGTAATTATTGATTTTGATAAATGAGTCTCTCTTCATCTTTTATTTGTCCAAAGATTATGCAGCTAAAAATATAAAATATTTGTATTTCCATGCAGAATATCCTTTTCTTTTTCAATCAAACGAAAATATGAGATTACTAATTCCTTATTTTTGCGTATTTACCATCAATTACTAAATACTTATTTTTTAAGCGTATATTTTATTTATATTTCGTTTAAAATAAAGTAATGAAATTCGTAAACATTAGAACTAAACAAGTTGTAGAGAATTTTATGTTAATTAACCAGTTAATTATAATTTCAGCCTTTACTAAAATTCTTCTTTCCGCATTCGTCGCCAGAGTAGCCGGTGTTTAAATTGAGGTTTTTGTTTTTGAAGAAAAAGCGTGTGTTTCTGGCTTCGCGTGCACGCTACGTCTTAGTTTCCTGACAGCTCTGATAGTTGCATTCATTCGCCTTTGCGTTTTCTCGCTGCCTGCAATGTAATTCTGACACTCCGATAAAGTAGTAATCCAGCTTCTAGTAAAGAAATTAATTGTGTAGCCTTATTCGCATTTGCGTTTTCTCGCTGCCTGCAATGTAATTCTGACACTCCGATAAAGTAGTAATCCAGCTTCTAGTAAAGAAATTAATTCTGTAGCCTTCGACTACTGTTTCACTTTTAACTTGAATTTGAGTGTTCTGTTTAGTTGCATCACCATGAGTTATGGATTATACTGTAGCAAAGAAAGTGCCTTTGTGCTCTATTTTCTGTTTAAATAAAATGGTTATTTTTAGCCGTCTCACTACTTCTCACTTAATAAATAATTGTCGTTGTTTCAGACATAGTTATAATTCATTTCACATCTGTTAGGATTATTGAACAAAGTAACTTTACCAGATCAAGTGAAACCCTACAAAGTAATCTTGTTTATGTTTTTAGTGTAGTAAAAACGCAATGTTTTAGTGTAACAGCCTTTCCACTATTTTTATAACCTGCATCAAGGGGCCAAATACTTTTAAAACCACGGACAGGAAAGATCTTTTTAGTACATCATGCGGACAGCTCCATGTCGATTTTTTATGCTGCTGTGTTGTTTAATCCGCGGAAAATTTTTAAAGAAATTAAAAAAAACGGAATTTGTTATAGAAATTTAGAGGTGAAATTTCTAAATTCCCTTTTTTTATGACGCTGTTTGTCTCAACGGTATTCATATGTCAATGTTTAATTTCTAAATTAAAGCTGATAGAAATGATAGGACTGTATTATTACTGCGGATGCACATGTTCTCAGCATGGGTTGATAGTGAGGATAGTCAAGTGTAAATATGAGGATATGCACTGTAGTAATATATGCGTATTCGTGCAAGTATGCGTATTCGTACATATATCCGTATTCGTACATATATGCGTATTCGTAATATTTACAAAATCGGATAGGAAAGAGATGAAAATGTCATTACACATGATTTTATAATAGGCCGGATTCAGCAATTAGAATAGGTCACATTTGGCCCTCTTACCAGGTTTTCCCCGCCTCTGGGTTACATGTTGGTTGAATATGCCAGTTTTAGGCCAATGTGCATGCCGTGCACATTAACCTATATTTAATCAATAGCTATCCAAAGAAATATGTGCTATGATGGGTTACCTTTTCATTATGTTTAATTCAATTAAAAAAGTCTGTAAATGAAGAAACAATAAATGTATTTTCAACTTATTTTAGAAAGAATAAAACCCAGTCCAAATAATTTCACTTCCAGTTAACTGGAGGTGTGTGCCTTTAAAAGATGAATCTGTCTTATTAAATGATTTCAGCTTGTAAACTAAAATCTGTTTAACCATAAATTTCATGTTTGGGGCTAAACATTTTTGGTTGATATTCTTAAAAGATCGAACGTCTTCCAGAGTCCTTAAAATGTAAATCTGTGCGCCGTGACACTGCAGGTAACATGTGCAAGTAATCGCTCTTATGTACAAATATAATGATTAATTTTTTTTATTTATTTTATTGATTTAAATTTTGCAAATGCCTACTTAATCTGAGATAATATTGCAAATGCCAGGCTTTTTCTGGTAAATGATAATTAAATTCATATTAATTAGTCTATAAGGTATTTCTCCCGCCTTCTTAGTGGTGTAGTGGTCTGCACGCTGGGCGCGTATTCCAGAGGTCCGCGGTTCGATTCCCGGCGAAGGCGTTGCTCATTTTTCATCTTGTCTGCTTCCAAAAATACCTATGTCTCTACAGGTCCAGTGGCAGAGAGCGTTGGTGATAAGTCGTAGCAAAGTGTCCAAATTTCCACTTCCCATAAAACAGAAATAATATTTAAAAATTGTCATTTTTCTTAGTATTCATGAAGTTAATTTCATCTTGCAGAACATTTTTATACGATTTGCATGGTTTAATTTATAAAAGGATTAAAGCAAAACCAGCATGAATCTGTATTCCATATTGTTCGTTTAATTATGACTGACTATTGAATTTCATGGGGAGGGAATTAATTTTAAGATCTTTGTTGCGCTCAAGCTTGTAAGTTTCTTGGACTGGCATTTTTAAAGGTAATCATCAAATCGGTCCCTCTCTTTTCAAGTTTGCTTAGCATCAGAGATTTTATTGGTATTTTTTTTTTTATTTTATTTTTTTTTTCGTTGTTATTTTATATATTAAAATAGTATGCACGAAACTCGCTTATACGGCTTTTCCTTTTTTGCTCATATACATTTCTAATATTATGTCTTAAAATGTTGCTTTTAGAATCTTGTTAACCCTT